CTGTCCCCAGGAGCATCATCCGGGGGTGTCCCTGTCCCCAGGAGGGTCATCTGGGGCATGTCCCCGTGCCCCCACCCACCCCTTTGTCCCACAGGAACTCTCCGGCTTCACCCTGGACCAAGTGGCTTTTGAGGACGGCAAGGGGAAGTGTCCGTATGACCCCACCAAGGGACACACCGGCCTCATCGTGGGTAGGTGGCACCACCAGGCACCCACTGCGGTCTGGGGGTGCCCACTGCGCCCCCCTGTCACCCCCCCTCGCTAAACCCTTGCCTCGCAGATGGGGAGCTGTACTCGGCCACCTTCAACAACTTCCTGGGCACGGAGCCTGTCATCCTCCGCAACCTGGGCCCCCACTACTCCATGAAGACGGAGTATCTCACCTCCTGGCTGAATGGTAGGGTCGGGGGGACGTGGCGAGGGGGACGGCGCGTGCACCTCCCACCCCAGCACGGCATTACCATTCCCTTTCTGCTCCCTCCTCCGCAGAACCCCACTTTGTGGCTTCAGCTTACGTGCAGGAGAGCGCAGCCAGCAGCACGGGGGATGACGACAAGGTTTACTTCTTCTTCAGTGAGCGGGCGGTGGAGTACGACTGCTATGCCGAGCAGGTGGTGGCACGTGTGGCACGCGTCTGCAAGGTACGGGGAGGGGACAATCCGTGCTGGAGATGCCGTCCCGGCGCAGCTTCGCTCCAGCGGTGAGCACGGTGGCATTCTCTTGATGCTGGCTGGGTTCCCAGGGGGATGTCGGTGGTGCCCGCACACTGCAGAAGAAGTGGACAACCTTCCTGAAGGCTCGCCTGGTGTGCTCGGCGCCCGAGCAGCAGCTCCACTTCAACCGCCTCCAGGCAGTCTTCACCCTGCCGGGGGCTGATTGGCAGGACACCGCCTTTTTTGGGGTCTTCCAGGCCCGCTGGTGAGTGCGTGGGGATGTGGCAGCACCGGGGTTCCCCATGACCGGTGGTTTCTCCTAAAAACCTGCCCTGTCCCTTGCAGGGGGGACGTGGATGTTTCGGCTATTTGCCGGTACCACATCCTGGAGGTGAAGAAGGCATTTGAGGGGCCCTACAAGGAATACCGGGAGCAGGCGCAGAAGTGGGGCCGGTACTCGGATGAGGTGCCGAGTCCCCGTCCCGGCGCAGTGAGTGCTGGCACCAGGGGTAAGATGGGAGAAGAGGGCGCGGGATCCGACCGTGGGCCTGATGGTGCCTTCTGTCCCCAGTGCATCACCGACTGGCACCGCCAGAACGGCTTTGCCAGTTCCCTCGAGCTGCCCGACAACACCCTCAACTTCGCCAAGAAGCACCCGCTGATGGATGAGCCCATCTTGCCGCACCGCGGG